AACTTTTCCCAGGGAGGAGCCTGCAGCCTGGCAGATGAGATGAGCTCCTTGTGGCAGCCATAGCTTCTCTGTCAGGAGGCTCATGGTGGTTTCTGGGATCTCTCTGTGCCATGAACTGGCAATGCCAAGCACCTGGCTCAGACAAGGCATTTTGCAGTCCTCATGGCATGCTTGGTTCAGAAATCTAGGTTCCACAAGACATCTTACCTCTTTCTGCCTTGGTTATGAAAATAACCTTAGAGCTGCAAAAGTGGCTTTAAGGACAGTGACACACTGGGCCACCTTGAGCATCCTCTGTGTGCCTATCTGAGACTGACACCTGAAATGGCAACCTCTGTGCTGGGGAGGGCTGCTGAGAGGGTGCAGGTGGGAAGACCAGGACTTCTGAAGAGTGAAAAAGGCCTTGGGCGGAGGAGGAGGTACTTTTACCTTGTGGCAGGGGCTGAGCATGCCTGCAGCACTTAAGACATCGCTTGGGAGGACAGACTTTGTCTCCAGAGTTGCCTTTCACAGACTACTGTGCAGATTGTGACTTCTCAGTCACCTCCTGAGGGGAACGGCTCCTGCTTCAGCTGGCATGTCAGTTGTGTGTTTGTGTGGCTAACTAGAGGTGAGTCTTGGCTCTTCTGCAGAGGGTGGTTTTGTGCCCTTGCTGTAACTGATCAGAACCTAGGGATGTTTACCAGGCCTGACAGAAGCATGACCTTGGCATGAGGACGTGAGTCACACAGCTCCTCCGGGTCTTGAATGGGAAGCCGGGCTTGGAATTAGGCTCCGCTTTATATAACCAGGGGATCTGGAAGGGTTGAGAATGCAGATCCCACTTTAAATAGGATGCCTTCCTTATTGGGGGTGGGAGGAAAGCCTGCAGGTGTAACGATTAAGCGGGAACAAAAATAATGTAGGTTGTTTTGGAACATAAAAAGCAAATGCTGTATCCATGGTGAAACCTGCCCTGTCCCAGGAGGGGCTGTCATCTTCTCTTCCAACACTGGTTCCCGAGCCTGCTCAGGGTGGCAGGGCTTGGACTAAGTAAAACCAAAACACTCCTCCGCCATGGTCTCTGTGTACCATGTACAGGCTACCAAGCTGTCTCTGGGCCTCCTCTAAGAGGAAGGGGGCAAAGAGCCTGGATATCAACCCCCTGCTTCTGTCCTTGCCATCTCCAAGCCTCGGTCCCACTAGTGACCCAGGCTGCCTGGACGCTTGTGCATCAGTGCTTTCTGGAGGAGTAGTGGAGCTGGAGGTCACCTGGTTGGGAGCTGGGCTGTTGGGTGAGATGAGGACAGCGAGCTGCCAGGCTGGCTCCTGTGGAGCACCATCTCTGATGGAGGACATCTTGGCTTGACTTTCTGCCTGGTCCATGTTGTCCCTCAACTTTCTTCCTAGAGGAAAAAGAATACCTTCAGTAGTTCTGCACTGGCATCTGTCAGGTCACAGCACTGTTGCATTTGCCCTGGGAGACTGTGGTTTACCATTTCCCGGGTCCTTTCAGTGTAAAAGGGTATCAGACAATTTACAAGTGACACCATGTACTTTAAAAAAAAAAAAAATCAAAAATACACCCAGTCTTCTGCTTTTGGATGTACTCTTTGAATTTCTTTAGTGAGCTCATCCCACAGCTGTAGGCATATGCTCATTTTTGCTGCTCTTACACAACTAAGGCTAAAATTAACACATCTGTTGTTGTTTAACTTCAATTTATATGGTACCCTCTTTTGCCAAAATATTATGTTTTGAGCAGCAACAGCTTTACTGTTATGTATCATTGGAGTTCTGGGAATAATACTTAGTACTACGTGCTATTTCTTAATAGCTTGTACTGAAGGGGGGACTTGGTGCTTCACTGCAGCTTTGCACGGGATGGGAGCAGATGCCCGGTTGCTGAAAGACCCTCCTCTGTTGGTGTAGCATTGCACGGGCACAGGTTTATTTGGTATTTCTGCTCATATTTGATATTTCTGCCCGTGGCCAAGTGCTCGAAGTAATGTGGTTTCTTGGAACCGTGAAGCCTGTGTTTTCACCCTCTCTGTTGTGGAGTCAAACTTAAATAGTGGGATCTTGGGCCTCAGAAAGCCTGTAGCATTATGGGTTTTACCCAGTCCAGCTTCTTTCTGAATGCCAAGAAAGGATAAAATGGGGACTTTTAAGGTAGAATATATGTATTTTTTTAGTCTAAGGAGTCCTTTATGAAAAGCAGTCATATATATGTGTGTGTGTGTATATATATGGTTTGGGGTTTTTTTTAGTCTAAGGAGTCCTTTACCAAAAAAATTCAACCCTTTTGAAATGAAGGAAGCTGTACTGAAAAGAAATCTGCTCGTCTGCCATGAAAGCAGGATCCTGAGAATTGCCAGGAGTAGTATCAAACACTTGATGTAGGAGGCAAAAAACTATTGGGTTTTTTAATGTTTATATTTGAGATGTTTTGTACTGCGTAGATCAGAGGGAAGAAAAAAACACATCCTCACTAAAAGGAATAACTGTCAAGTTTACAGTATGTAAATTACCCTCAGCTAATCTAAGTGGGTTTTGCTCACCTTTCTTCTGTGCACAAGGTTTCGAAGGCAAGTGTTAAATTACATGTTGAATGGGATAGTGGGGGGACCCAAACCCTTCTGATTTCACAGAAGAATAATTAAACTGGAGCTACGGTCTGGCTTTGATCTCAGAGATGCTTGCAAGCTAAATAAAAGTAAAAGACTACCTTGGGGACAGTCTGTGCCGTTAATTAACTAGCTAAATTCTGCCTCCATTGTTCTCCAGTGGGTTTCCAGCAGCTTTGGCACTCGGCATCGCAACTGGAAGCTGCCAAACACGACTTGGCACCTTCCAGCAGCAGAGCAACCTCCTGAGGGGCAGGGAGTGATACGTGAAATGGAGGTGTTCGGGGAGCAGGTGGTGAAAAAGGGCAAAAAATGGCTGCTTCACCAGCTGCTCGCAGTGGGCAGAGGAGGGATCCGGCTCCTCTCCCCGCACCCCTCTGGTGATCTGCAGCTGCCGTCCCGGGTGCCAGCCTGTGTCCCCGGCCTGCGGTGAGTTGGGCTTCTGCCAAGAAAATAGCTTTTGTGTTTCCTTAAATAGTCTGCTGCCGTTGGGGCAGGGGGGAATCTGAATTGATGTTATTACTAGAATTGGCCAGCTGGCTGAATTTTTTTTTTACATTTTCATTAACAAATCCTGCCGGGCGCTGTTTTCCCAATGAAGTAATGAGTGTGTTTTTCAAACAAGGGGGCAAATCTCCCCAGCACCGCTGCCGCTGAAATCTGGGCAGGCTCTGGCAGCCAGAAAGGCAGGGCGGAGGTGTCTTGTACAGGCAGCCCTTCAGAGATCATCAGGGCACGATTGGCATTTCGGCTTCTCATGACTCATCCTTTTTTTTCCTGAAACCTCAGAAATGTGGGGTGATTGGGGGAGGGAGTTGCTGGGAGTTGGTTATTGGAACATGCAATTAGTTGGTTTAGCATCCGCTTTGATACCACAGCAAACGGATTGAGGAAATTTGCCCTTAACATGATTAGATGTTTGTCTCTGTTACTGCTTGGCCCCGCATCCCGGTGGGGCTGTCCTGCTGACCTGGGCCTAGCAGGGTGCCCGTGCATTGGTGCTTTATGCAGGAGATGGAAGAATGGAGAGCAGCATCAGTCACAAACAAATGCGTCAAAACATCCCTGAGTTTTGTAAATAAATGATAGCTTCTATGTGTGGTTTTATTTCTCACTTCTTGGCTGTATTGACTGCAGTAACGTATTTTTCCGGGACACGAGGCAGTGAAAGCTGCAGCTTCGTTCTCCGTGTCCTCTAGAAACTCAAAACATGGTAGTGGTTGTTGGCTTTATGGAAAAGTACCCCCAGCCCCAGCAGGCTTGTTCTCATCTTAAGGCACTGAAGTTACTAAATTATGATCCTGCTTTTGTTTAAATAATCCTAAATTTAGGATTTGCAGCTTCAGCGAAGTTGTCCTCGGCGAGTTGTTTTTAGAGTTGCATTGAATTCCTTTCTCCGGTTTCTTTTGGGGAGAAAAAGGGTATTTTTTCTTTCCTAGGCTTAAGAATAATTTAAGGTGAGAAGTGTGGTCTTTGGGGTGCTTGTTCCTCCATTGGCATTCCTGTAGCAGGATTCCCAGCACATTTCAGGAGAAAAGTTGACTAAAGTCAACTTTGTTTTAAACACTGGAGATAAGATAAAATTTTATAGCACCTGCAATGGATCTGCAGTAAAAATATTTGTGATGTTATTTTACTTAGTATTGGATATCAATCATCAACAGCTGGTTTCCAAATACTGAATTTGGTATATAGTAGGTACTAGCCTTTTTTACAAGCTGTTAGTAATCTGCTGCTCCTTAGGGCTGCCACGGATCTGGGTATTTTAGACCCTTTTCAGTCCTTCGCCTGCCTGCCACGTGCTGTCTGGCCAGGCATTGAGGCCGTTGGTCGGGCAGGTGGATGCTGATAGCCATATCAGGTCGCCATTGCCCCTCCTACCCTTGCACATCTGCAGCTCGTGTTTTCCTCCTTCTTAGCTTTATCAGCCTGCGTATTTTCAGATTAAAACTTGCTTTTTAACTCCCATTTCTGGAACCTGGAGGTCCTCCCATCACTTGCAGCTAGTCTTCAGAAGGAAATGCCAGCTCCCAGGCCAGGTTCATGCAGCAGTGCAGGACATGGGGCAAGGATCTCTCAAAAAGCTTTTCTCTAAGAGCTACCTGGCCTGGGAAAACAAGGCCTATGGTGCTGATGATCTGATCTACTTGCCCGTTTCTTATTTCTTCATCAACAGCAAGCCGGATTTGATTTGTTTGGCTAAAAGTTGAGGTGTGGTGTAGCCCCCAGTCTGCCTGCAGCCTGCCCAACCTGCTAGCAAGTTCAAAATCATCGAGGGTTGAACAAAATATTACAGACTCTGCTATCTTTGGGAGGTGGCCAGCACTGAATCTGTGTGCAGGAGCCAGGCTCCATCTCAATGTCTCTCTTTTTCCTCTAGGTCTAGAAGAAAAAACAGTTCTTTCTAAAAAAGAAAAAATGAAGCTGAGGAAAGAAAGATGGCTACAGAGTAAGTACTCCTCTGAAGCACGGCGGTACCATGGGCATCACAGAGCATGGCTCTGTTGGATCTCTCTGTACATGGGGTGTGGGTGGCAGCGTTGGGCAGTGCTGAGAGAGGCTGATGCTTCTCAGAAACCTTTACATCTGCTCCCCAGCACATGGGGTAAAAGTCCCAGGTTATTGTTTCTCAGTGTTTAGCACCGAGATTGAGTCATTGCCCCAAACCTACTTTTGATCTTTCTCCCGGTGTAATAAAAGTGACTACATAAAACCTTTATATATCCAGATAGGACACTGTGCCCATGTAGGTTTATAGAATCATAGAATTGTTTAGGTTGGAAAAGACCTTTAAGATCATCCAGTCCAACCATTAACCTAATGTTACCAAGTCCACCACTAAACCAATTAAGAGTAGAGTAGCATTTAGCATGTTTCTCTATCTTTTAAAGCTCTGGTACAGATATGACTAGCTGTATAGTGGAGCTCCTCCTCCCTGAGGAGCTGTGGGGATGATAGGACAGCCTGGAGCTGAGCCCCACACAGCCACCAGCTATTCCCAAGGCTCTGTGGTGAAAGCCTGCAGTGGGCCCTCCCGCCCTTCAGTAAGGAAGGTCTCTGGATGCTGCTGGTTGTGTTACTGCTCTTTCCCACGTGCCACAGGTCAGTGAACTCATTTACCAGACAGTCTGGCCTTTCTCAAGGCTGTGAAATATGAGCTAAGCAAAACCAGCCCATGGCAGAAATGCTTCTGTTTCCTGTGGGAAGTGTCTGTATTTTTGCTTTGAGTGTCTTGGCACAGTAAGAAGGTATGCTACCTGCTGTAGCAGAGGGATTCCTCTTGCCACCTGGCGCTGTTCTCGGGACAGGCTTTTCCCTTAACACCTTCCTGCCCAAGAGTTGCTGACAGACTGCGTTTGGGGCTGAGGGATGTGGCTTTCTGCCACACCATATGCCCCCTGCTCCCGAGCTCTGAGCTCAAGTCCAGCAACCTGTGATGTCACCAGTCAAAGTGAAGGTGTCTCTTACATAAAAAACTGATAATTTAACACCGTGAGTGTGAAGGAAACCTCCTCCCTATCACCAACCAACAACTTCCAAATGCCTTTGGCATCTGCAACCCTTGGTGTTCCTGTTGGGCACAAAGCATAGATGGCTGTGCTAGTTCTAATGTCTGGCCTGCTGGCTGCAATTTTGGTGCTTTTAAAGGTCTCTCCTTGTCTGATACTATTGTGGGAACAGAGGAGGGGACTGCTGGAGCACAGCTAAGCTTTCCCTCCTCTGATGCCAGCACTGGTACCAGGTGCTGTAGAGGAAGGCATGTCCTCAGCAGCATTTTATGACAGACTCCACAGTAAAAGGGGTACATGGGACTCATGTCTTCTGCAAGAAACAGAACGCATGCTCCTACAGTTAGGTGACAGCACTGTTCCCATAGTCACGGTCAGCTACTTTGGAAAAGCCCAGGAGCAGGATCGCTACACTCTCTTAATCCTGCCTTGCTGCATATATACCTTTGAGCCTTTCTCAAGATCACATACGTTATTTTGGCCCTGCCGTGGCCTCTTTCCTCCTCTCTTGGCTCTGAAATTACTAAGCTGAGGGAATACAAATGAAATGCAGAGGCTTTGCTTTGAGGAGAACACCAAGATAGAAAACTTCAGGCTAAATTATCTCTGTCTTAGAACATACTAGGTATTAGAAGCACTTTACAGATACAGAAGTACCTAAATTGCTGGCTCTCTTGACTCCCCCACTAAACTTGTGGCCAGTTGGCAAATACCAGCATTCCCTAGCAAATGCTTTGCTAAGGGTAGCAAGTACCCGGGGATTTCCGTAAGAAAAGTCAGGAAGTATTAGTACCAGGTGTACAGCTTGTTATTGAGAAAAATGGAATAGCTGGAAAGAGCCTATATAAACATCAATAAATTCAGTAAAGAAACTGATATTATTAGCTGATGGAGTGAAATGAACTGGTATTTCCAGAGATGGAAATTTTTAAATGAAACTTGGCATTCTAACATTGTGACCTTAAAGAGCTGCAGTCAACTGAAATGCATTGATTTTTATCTGATGCAGATAACTCTGCCAATTCTTTGTGGGTTTTGCAGTCTTTGCCCCCAGAAAGAGAACCCAAGTTGGACTGCTGAAGTTGTTATCGTTACATCTCTGTTTTCCTAAATCTTCCCAAGAGTTTGTTGTTTCTTCTTGTCCCAGGGCAGCTTTTGTGACACGGCATGCCAAGACCCTGGGAACTAAAGTTCAGCCCAGTAGTGCAAATGCAAAACTTGGAGATTTCTTCCATTCCAATAAATCATTTCAAGAGAGACTAGAGAGGGAAAAAAAATATGTAATTCTTCAGACATTAGAACTATGCACATTTAAAAATACATATATCGCATGGCTCCTCAGACGAGCAAGACTTCATAGGAAAAGAATTTGGGATGTTTGCGCAGAATCAGGTGTCTGAAAATTTTGAGCACATACTGTTTATGACAGCACTGAAGTAGTCAGCTTCATAAAGCCAGACCAAAAAAAGAAGTGATGCAGAACAGAAAGCTGTGTTCTTGGCAGGGATTGCTGTGAGGAGAAGCGTTAGCAATCCAAATTTGTCACAAGCATCCATGTGCAGCAAAACTGCAGTTCATGAAAAACTTGCTCTTCAACACAGCTGACTTGGGGAGCAAACAAGACAAAGATGTTAAAGGAGCCAGCAGCTAGCCAGTGAAGTTGAGTTCTGCTTTCTTGAATGTGGGCAGCAGGATTAGACCCAGAATTGCAGGTGGCATCTTGCCTGCAGTCTGTAGAATGGGACTGGCTGCTTTCATGTTCCCACCAAAAATACTTATGCTGATTTAGTCCTGCTTCTGTGGCCACACTGCATTGGAAGCTGTTGTCCTCCCTGTGTTGCCAGCTTGGCCCCACGGCTCCTGGCACTGTGCTCCGTCATGTCCAGACAAGGAGTTTAGCTCAGCGCTGAGGCTCGTGTTTGCAATATGCTTATTGCCCAAGGCAATAAGCAAAAGCCTGGTCATCCGCTGTGGCCTCTGCTGGGTGCATGTGGAGGAGATGGAGTCCTCCATCATGCACCCCGCAGCACTGGTGCCCGTCGTGGGTGTCAAGGCAATGCAGCAAGTTTCCAGGCCTGGTGATCACCTGGCAGAAGGAAAAGGAGCTCCTGGATCCCGCCAAGCCCTAGCTGTTTCTAGTGACATTGTCAAGGGACTTCTGAGACAGGTTGGGGCATCTTGGAGCTCAGCTGGAGGCTTGTAGCAGTGCTGGGCTTTTGTGGGCTGTCCTGGAGGAGAACATGTTCTGCTGGGGCTTGCCCTGGAGGCTGCTGGCTCTGTAAGGCTTGGGTAGCTTTTTCTACACCAGGGAGCCTTGAGGACTGAGGTAGAAGCCTGCATCTTTCAGTGCCCACCTCCCATGGCCAAGAAGGGAGACTGCCATAACATTTGTAGAGCCTTATGTGCCCACAGCCTTCTTACTCAGAGCTGCTGCAGGGAGACTGGTAAACATGGTCTTGAGGAAAAGCCAGCTGCCTCTGTGTCTGCCACTTGGTGCAGTGCTTTTCTAAGAGCCCAGCATCTGACTGCTTGAGGTCCACCACGAATCATGAAGGTGAGACCTTGACTTGCTCCAAACTAAGTAAACAACTGAAATTAAGTCCATCTTTTCTGCCTGTGCTAGGAGACCATTCCTTTGTCCCAACAGCAAAGCAGAGATGGGGCTGTGACTGCTTAATGCCATGTGGAGCTGACTGTATTTGGTTTGTCCTTTCCCCTCTTGTGTCTCTCTCCTAATTCCATGCAAGGTCAGCATGTTTTTTTTCCACCCTAGGACTCCTGTGCCATGTTGCTTTGAGCAAGGAACAGTGCAAGGGATGGAAAGAGTTCAGACAAAATCAGTCTGGGTATTTTACTTCCCACTGCAAATGTCAGTAGAGGTCTATATAGTTATAAGCAAACACAGCAAGGGAGGGAAGTACCTAGCTGCATTATTTTCAGTTTTCCCCTGGTTTAAATCACTTCTGGCCTGTTGTTCCTGTAGATGGTGAAGCAGCCTATGAATTTCTTAGCTCAAGGGTTATCTCTTGCAAATGCTTCCCCCTCCTCCAGTAATGTCTTGTTTCTGATTCAGAAATAGAAAGTGTGAAGCTAGCCAAGCAGAAGCAAAAAGCCGAAGCAAAGCGGAAGGCAACACCTGTGGTAGGAGACATGCAGCCATTGATGGAAGCCCTGCCTGAGCTCTCTGACCTGACCACAGGTGGCAGGGGCAGGAAGCCACCCAAGAGGTATGTGCCATTTAGGGATGGGCTGTGTGTTTCCCTTCTTCTTGCAGGATGAAGTGCCCTTCAGCTCAGCTTGTAGCTACAGGCAATGCAAGCTCGGTGCCAGTGGTCAGGAGAACAGGGCCTCATTCTCAACTCCATTTCACCCCTTTCCATGCTTCACTTGCTGCAAGAAAAAAGCTTAAATGTGTCCTCTGAATCCACAGCTAAGAGGGGAGCTGTATTGCTCAGACGAGGCTTGGCATGAGAGAGGCTGGGAGCAATCAGATGGGAGTTGCAGAAGCGACACACAAGAGTCCAGAATGTAATGCTGCTGAGCTTACGTGAGAATGTGGACTTGAGGTGTTGCAGCCTGCTGTTCTGTCCTTCCAGGCCTCCAGGCTTTCTCTTGAGGCAGTCAAAGTCCTTTAAGCAGAGCTTGACACTCTGGCCAGGCTCTTTGTTCGCCCCGTTGGCTTGCAATGTGACTTTGGACAAGAACAGAAAGATGGTGTTTCCATTCCCTTTATTGTACTGAAAGAGAAGGGCTGTTTCTGATCCTCTGACACCCACATGTCAACCATCCCAGCCAGCCATAGGGTGGGTTCTGGTTGCCCTTATGTTTTCTCCTTCTTAATGCAGTGCTCTGCCTGACCATCAACACCACCAGTGTTGCAGCTGCTTTTGCATCCCCCAGTGCAGAATAAAAGTGCTCTGCACGCTGCACAAACACTTGTCCCTCCTCTCCAGTTGCTCAGTAGGGGTTAGAAGTAGAAACTTGTTTTGACTGAAACAGGAGAGCATTTGGATTCCAGAACAGTCAAGAAGGTGGCTGTCTGGCAAAGTACCCTCTTCTTTGGTTGCAGATCAAGACTGGAGATACCATGAACCCTCTTGTCACTTGCTGGATGCCCCAGAAATAAACTTTGACCCAGATGGGACACTCACCTACAGAGCATGGCTGAGTTGGCAGTTCCCTGTGCTTCTGGAAAGCTGCTCCTGAGAAAAACAGCAGCTATGAACCTTGCATCTAAGCATGGGAAAATATTTCCTTCCTTAAGTTGGCTTCTAATTCTTTGAATAGCATTTTTTTTCTTTATGCATCCATTCAGTCAGCCTGCCCTCTCTTTCAGTGGGAATGAACAGCAAAAGTACCTGCAGAGTTTCAAGTCTTGCCAGGGCACTGAGGGTTGGTTGGATGGAGTTCTGGGCCAGGGCTTAGCCTGAGCATGAGTAGGTGGCTTTGCCCTCTTTCTGTGATGATGTGCCACAACCACATGTGGCATCTGACTCCAGGTTGTGTTCATGAGTCATTCCCCCTCATCATTTTCCCCCAGCCCTCTTGGTGGCTGAGCCCCTGCTATCCAGTCTTGCAGAAAGTATGTATAGGGGAGGGAGGACAGGTAGCGTGCTTCCTTTGGGGATTGCTTTCCCGGTGGCTGCATAATCTAGTACAAATACACGGTGTTGCTGCAGCCTGCCATTCTGGACCAGCTCAAAAGATAGAGTAGAACTGGAAAAGGCTCAGAGACGGCTGACAAGGATGACGGTGGAGGATCTGGCACAGCTTCTGCGCAAGGGGTGACTAAGTGAGCTGGGGATTCCTCAGCTTGGACAGGAGATAGAGGCAAAGAAGCTTGGGAATGTAATAGTCTATAAAATCAAGTGTGATGTGGTTAGGAAGTAGTTCATCTTCTTTTCCAGTATGAGAAATAAAGAACATCAAACATAGCTAGCGAGTAGCTGGTTCAGTGCAAGCAAAAAGCTCACTGCTCTGCACAGCTCCTTGCTGCAGGATGCAATGGCTGAGGGAAGCCTGTGGGTTCAGGTGAGACCTGACAAATCCAATGAGGAGAGCTCCATGGAGGGTACTGCATGTATATAAACTGCAGCTGGCACAAGGTCTCTGAGCTGCAAATACTGGAGAGGGTGTGGCTATACTCTTGCCTTGGTCTTATCCCTCTCTGGCCATCTGCTGCAGGCTGCGTCAAGGCAGAACACTGGCCAAAATGGTCCTTCCAGCTACTGCAATCACTCTTCTGCAGTGTACTTAATGGCAGAGGATGTGTGGGACACATGGAAGTGTTCAGTGGTCTTGCACAAATCCCCAGCCTGACATCCTCAAAGAAGTGCTGTCAGCTCCCTCTCTCTCCAAACCCAGACCTCCTGTGGGAGTGTGGTAGCCCTTCTCTCCTTTTGGAAGCCTGAGCTCCTGCTCTGGCTCTGTTTTCACTTTGGCTGCAAGGCTCTGGTGACTAGAAAGCCCAGTGGGCCTGTGGCACAGCAGGATGGAGAAGCCCAGCCTTGGATGAGAATTTTGGGATTGGCCAGCACCATCTGCAGTTGGCACAGCGGAGGTGGGAGCTTGGCATTGACTGATGTCACCCAGATTGCCTGTGACATGCCACCAAAAAGCAGTCCCCCTTGGTACTGGCATGGAGGAGCTACAGTGCTCTTCTTCCCCTTGCTGGCTTGTGGCTTCCTGGACTGCATGAGGATGTGTGTGCGTAAGTGTTTGAAATAATCAGAAGAAGCTTTTATAGGATTTGAATCATTACAGAAATGAAGGGTAATACTCTAGTGATTTGTCATCATTATTAATAAAAGATTAGATTCTCCAGGAATTTGATCTCCTGCTGGGTAAGAAAGCATTACAGTGAGGTTTTTATTCTGTTTTATAATGAATGAAGGCAATGAAGTGTAATGAAACAGGCCTACTAACACGGTCCAAGTGAGCAGGCAGTGTGCTGGTGGTTTGGTGGGGAAAAGTCAGGCAGCAGCCTTTCCAACCTGCCAGACCAGCGGGGCAGAGCTGTTGAGTGGAACTGAAAAGCATTTAGAAGCACCAAGCCCTTTAAAATAGTGGGGTAGCTGAAAGCAAAAGTGGGCTTGCACAGCCTGAAGCAGCCCTGCACCCTCGTGGTGTGCTGCAGAGGAAGCTGTCCCAAGAGGCACAGCCTCTGGGACATGTAGTCTCATACAGGCCAGGGTGTACTCTAGAAAGGCTTTCCTTTAAGTATTGTCACCCTCTGCAGCGCTACTCATCTTTGAGGGGACTGCCATGGCGACTTGGTGGCACACTTGGCAAGTCCCTGCAATGCTGACCATAGGTTGCCATCCAACTTGAGAAGGGATTTCTGTGTGCTTCTGTGAGCAATCCAAGCAAACTGGGACAAGAAATTGTTCCTGTGCTGAGCAGTTAATGGACATGAAGAGAGCAGAGATGCTTCCTGCTCTTCCTGTGTCTTGCAGTACCAGTGGATGCAGCAGTGTGACGGGAGGTGCTCGAACCCCTGTAGCTGTTTGTCTGCTCTTGCAGATCGCCGTTCCTCATGAGCTCTCAGGCCTGTTGTGTAACACCGGCAGCGCTGGGGTGACCTTGAGAGGGACTGAAGGGTACAGGAGCAGCGCACAGGCGTTGATCTGCCTGGCTGCCCTTTCCTGCACAGGCTCTGTGCTGTGAAGGCTGGCTGACATACATCCACAGTGTTCGGGTTTGTCTGGGTTGGCAGGGAGCTTTGATGCTGGGGCACACTGTGCTGGGCTGAGGGTAAATCAGATGTGATCAGGGCAGTGGTGAGAGCAGCCCTCAGAAGCTTGGGTCCACCTTGAGGAAAAAATGGGCCAGGGTGGGGAGAGAGAGCGATGACAAAAAGGAGCAGGAGCTGATCCATTAGAGACGGATGATGAAAGTGAGTGGGCTGAAAGAATATGGAGCAGGGGAGGAGGAGGAAAGGAAGAACGGGGGAAAAAAAATGCAGAATAAAAGGATGGAGGGTAGTGGGTCAGAGAGGGAAATAGGAAGAGGAGGTCACTTTAAAACTGCCAACAAGAGACCAGATCCTGCTATCTTGAAGAGAAGGTGAGGGACTGTCATGTTTCCTAACCTTGAGAAAGCTGAAGAGCTCTGGGGCAGATCAGGTGGGGCAGGCCCTGGCCCCCAGCACCCACCAGTAAGGGAAGATTCCTCCTTGAGCCCTGCCCCAACAGAGGGGTGGGAGGCAGGCCCTCTTTCCCCCTTGGGCTGTGTGCTGGGGCTCAGCCCCAGGGCAGATTGGAGGGGAGCTGCTCTGCAGAGGCAGACCCTCTTCCCCACTTGCTTCTCCTGTTTACCTCTGTGTCTGTGTAATGCTGAAGAATGGAAGTTTCTTATCTTTTCCTAATGCCCAGTTCTATCAGCAACTCCCCTTGTGCACTTCCAAGTCCCAAAAGCAGTCATTGCCCTTCCTGCATGTCCCTTGCTTGGGCTCAGCACTTGGCTTTGTGGTAAATCTCTGCCGCTGCTTGGCATTGGGCACCACGTGCTTCCAGCATCCTGTGCAGGATGGGATTACACCTCTGGTCTCCTTGGACTTTGCCCAGGAATAAGAAATGGGTGCAGAGTGCAGATCTTTGCTTGCCGCTGTGCCTCAACTGCACATAGTGCACCAGCCTGCCTTCCCATGGGTCCATCTTCTTGCAGCTTCATGGGTTCTCCAAACCTATGTTTGGTGGCAAAAGCTGAAGCTCTGTTGTGCTCTGTGCTTTCTCTTTAGCTAATCTGTTTGGAGCTGACTTAAACTGGAAAGCCTGTGGCAAGGATATGTGTTCACAGGGAGAAAGGAATATTACCATTCTTTATCTTAAAATATAAATGACACCTCATACCCCTGTCATCCCACCACAGGACTCGAAGCAGGGCTGGCACTTCCCTCTTCTTGCTGAGTAACCATGGCACTGTCTATAACTGATGTTTGCCGATGCTGGAGCTTGGCAGCATTAGCAAGGAACATGAGATGTGCAGAGGTGATGTGTGCCTGGTGGTGAGGGGAAGTTTGATGGGATCTTTTCTCTAAGCAACAGCATCGGTTTGACCTGGAGGTTAGTGATAAGCAGAAAGTGATCTGGGCATGGACAGCTCATGACCAGTTCTAGAATTAAGTGATCCAATTTTTCTTCAGTGCATTTACCTCCTGCCCATTCAGTCCTGACTCCTGAGCTGTTGTCAGTGTGTGGTGGAAGGAGTTTGCATCTCCATTACTGTCTGGCTATGGAAATAATTGCCTTTCAGGACAATTTCCATACAGGACAATTACCTATACTTTCTGGGAAGGCAGATGCAGAATCCCTGGACTCTTTCCATTTCCGCAGCAATTGCTAAATTACCGCTCCTCTATAACACTCACTCACTTCTTTTGTTTCTTCTCTCCACAGCCATGTCAAAGCAAAGGCAGAACCAGCAGACTTCTGTCTGATGAAACAAGCTCAGAAATGCCAGCTCTTGTAAGTACCCAGTTACCAGAGTGTCCAGTCCCTGCTGAGCATTACAGAAGGGTTGAGACTGGAAGGAGACCTCTGAAGGTCAGCTGGTCCAACCCCCCTGCTTGAGCAGGGTCACCTAAAGCTGGTTGCCCAGGACTATGTCCACACAGCTTTTGAATTTCTCCAAGGACGGAGATCACAGAACCTCTCTAGGCAACCAGTTGCAGTGTTTCAGTCTCGCACACCTGAAGGCCTTAGAAGAGGTGGCGGCTTTGATTTTCCCCTTTACATAGTGCAGGATGTTTGTGGGTGTCCTTCTGTCTTAGTCCCTACCAGATTCAGTCAATTCTAAATGGATTCAGTCTGCTTCTGTCTCATATAACATCTAAGCAAAGAGGGCACAGGAAACTGCACTTGCTCTTTTAAGAGTTTGCTTTCCTTGTCTCATTGAAAAGGAAGTGATGGCTTGGGCCTTCTGTGTATGGTCTGTGGGGTTTCAGGACAAAGCTACACCAACTGTCATCTTGTTCCTCTTGGCCACAGTTGTCATTTCTGGCTGTACCAAGTGAGTATGTCTGTACTGTGTCCCTCTGTGTGGCATGGGCGATGTGGTTATCAACGAAGTGGTATGTCCCTTGTCTTGGCTTGCTGAGTTGGAGCTGCAACATCTAGCTGTGGCTCAGTCTCTTATGACACCAGGCCCACGTAGCTCTAGCTGATACTCTTCAGGAAAGCCTCCTGCGGTTATGTAGGTGGGGAGCTCCTGGAACTCTGCATAGCATCAGGAGCTACAGCTGCTCTGTTGGAGCACCTCTGGAATGCTAACTTACATGCCTTACGTCTGTTACAAGGACAGCTGCTATTGGCATCTGCCAAACCTTTTCTTGTAAAATGAAGCACTAAATGCTTTTGAATAATTCCTGGACTTGGTTAAGGGTCTGGCAACTCCTTATTCCTCTGTATAATCTGTTGGATATTTTATACTGCCACCAGGCATCAAGAACCTAATTTCCCCTTGGCACAGCTCTCCTAGGGCTAGGCACTGTGATCTGGCAGTGTTTGCTTTCTGTGATTCCCGTTTCCAGGATTTCTGTCAGTTCTGAGCCATTCATCTTCAAACTGAGGCTGAGGAGAACAGTCAGTCTACAGATCCCAGCACTGCTCTCTAGCACACTTTGTGAATACCCTTTTCTGTCTGAAACTGGTCAGTGTCAGTGCTGAGACGCCTTTCTTGTTCAGTTCTGCCTTTCTGGATGAGTCCCTCCTTGGCTCATTGCAGAAGTCCAAGGGTCACGCCTCGAGTGCCACCAGTGAGTGTCTCATTGTGCTGGAACTCATGGTTAAGGAACATGGTCCCTCTTAGAGGAGAGGCTTGTATACAGATCTAAATCCAAATACACAACTCCACCACCATCTTGTGTATCAGCAAGCCAATGATCCCGTGTGTCCCCCTCTTCTCCTCTGCACCAAACTGGAAAGATGCACTGAGTAGTGGCATGTATCCTACCATAGTGCTTCTTGGGAGAGAAAAACTTTGGAGGAAGGCCTTTGAGGTTTATTTTCCAGCACGTTAGTTAGTACTGGAGGTTCCCTAAGCCTCACCCCATTGCCCCAACTGCCACAACCCAGGTTTGACTTCTCTCTGTTCCCCTAGCAGGGGCAGGGCTGGCATTGAACGGAAGGACCTTATTAGGGAGGGAACTAGCCGCATACTGCAAGCTGAAGAGCACTCTGCTGATCCATAACAACCACTGAGTACGTGGAGATGTGTGTCTGGCTGGGCTGTGGAGAGCCTGGCAGTCTGTCTGATGGAGATGGGGAGGTTGCAATGGATGTGACTTATGTGAAAACTCTCTTTTTACACTCCTCTTGCTCTGTTCTTCTTCCCTGCTTGCTTGCTTTTTAAGACAAGACCATTTCCACAGCAACCAGCTGTGACCAAGCATGCAAAGGTAATTGTCATGCTCCTCCCATGGTGTTTAACTAGTGTTGCACATAGGATTACCAAGCCTCTACGTTGAGCAATAAAGAGGGTCAGTAGATGAGCTTTCGAAAGCAGAATCTGCTTTTGTGCTAGTGCACTCTGAAGTAGTTTTCATTCTTAGGGATTTACCAGATACCCACAGTCTCTTGTTCCTGATTTACTAGGGAAGAGCTCTAAAAAAAACATTTCCAAGTGCTGCTGGACACTAATGTGATTGTTTCTGTCTCTGTGGCGTGAGTTCAAGTCTCTGGCTCCCATGAAGCTGGCAGCAATTTGAGCTTTGCCCTTGGGTAAATTAGGTTTATTTCTTGCACTGTTTCTTTCTGAGGTTTAAACCCTGGATCATTCTGTCTGTACAGAAACCCACTGCTTTATGAGTTCTGTTCTTATCTGCTCAGTTCCTTTTGCATGATGCACTTAGCATTTGTGTGTTATTTTTCTTTCCTCAGAGAGGAGGAAGTGGCTCGATTTCATGAGGTCATCACCAATCCCAGGTACAGAGCCAACCCCCTGATGGCCATCAGCGAGCATCTCTCCAAGAGGCTGAGGCAGGAGGAAGATGGTAAACCCCTCTAGGGTGTCAGCTGGGACCATACGTGCACACTGGAGCTGGTGCGAGGGCTCCAGGCTGCAAAGGAGCACATCACTAACATGACCTCTCAGCCACTTCAGTCCTTGGAAACAGTTCAGCAGATTATTAAATCCAACAGTCCTGTTTTCTGTCTGCAGGAATAATGCAGTTCTCTCCTGACAGTGGCCAGCTGCTCCTTGGCAAGCAGCCTGCAGAGAGCAGGGTGTTCTGCAAGATCTTTGTGCGGACATTACGCGCCCTGCAAAGTGTCTTGACACCTTTTCTCTTCTTGTGAGCAGGCACAATTTCTTAAATTGTGCCAGTGGCAATGTATCTGTTTTCTGTCATTTCCCTCCCCTTTCTGACAAGTCTGAAAAGAGATTCCTTATTGCTCCGTTGAGATGGTTCAAGACCCCAGGCCCTGGAGCCCAGGAGGCTGTTGTAGATCTGTTTAAGGACCGATGCTGCTGTTCAGAGACATTATTTTATGTGAGAAATTTAGCTTTGGAATAAACACACTTTTATATAGTACTGCGTTTGTCTGGCTCTTATTTTGGTAAATACTAATGGAAATATGGCCTTATTCCCATCACTGGAAAAATTACTTAAAAGAATGGGGTTTTTTGATGCGTACCATGAACAGCTAGACTGATGCTGCGGCATGCAACAGAAGCCACATAAAATCATTGCAGATCACGTCTAACTCATAGACTTGCCTTCCTCCTACCCTGGAAGTGTGCACTTTCCATGGATGATACCGATCCCTTTTGGCCTATGTCGTGTTCCCTATAGGAAACATCTTAAAATGTGTCCTGGCTGCAGGCTGTGAACTTCAGCTGGTAATTTACGTGTTTGGGTTTGGGAACTGCTGCAGCGAGGGGAGGCCTTTTCTTCTACCAAACACCAATTCTCACAAAACTCCAGTGAATTTTCCTGGGGAAAACTGAAGGCAGGGCTGTTCCCTGTTTGAGATGATCCTGATTTGACACCCCAAAATGTCAGTGCTGTCTTTTGAACCATACAAAGTTTTCTGATGCTTCTTACCCTTGGAAAAGCAGTCTGCCTATTTTGGATCAGTGGTGAGGAGCATCTGAAACCTTTAAGGAAGAAATTCACTCTCATGGCCAGACAGAGCATGGAGCAGCCGACTCTTACCCAAGTTAGTGCCTATAACAGCTGCAGTGGGAGTGGCAGGCACCTTAATCATACCTGTCTCTTGTGTCACTAGTAATGCTGCTTTTTTTTTTCCTTCCTCTAGGCTGGCACTGTTGAACAAAGGCAGGTTTTCTAAAGCCTGCCTCTTAGCCCTGGCAGTGCAGATGCTGTTGCTGATCCTGCTTGTTAGAGGATGTCACTGTGCCACCCCTCCTCCCCCAAGGCCTGGCAGGAGAGTCCTGCTGGCAGAGGCCACAGAGAGATGCTGGCTATGTCACATCCTCCACCCTGTTGCTCTCAGGCTGGCAGAGGGCTGGCAGGGCTCTCCTCTTCCCTGACGGCTCCTGCGCCTGTACTGGCAGGTGAATGCTGCTGTGCTGTTTGTCGGTGTGCTGTAATGCCCTGCGAGACCCAGGCTCTGAAAAGCAGAAGGCTGTGGTAGGGTCAAACAACTCAAAATATCTCCCCATCTCCTGGTTGGCTGCTGCTTGCTCTCTTACCAGTATCTGATTGTATTTCTTTTAGGCCATGTTGGATTTTGAGCTCTGAATGCCAGCCCCAGCTGCAGCCATGCTTCCCCTGCTCATGTTATGCAGGCTGGGCACTGCATCAGAGAGCTGGGCCTTGGATGGGGCTGTGCACTAACGGCACCTCCTGCCTGTGGTCTGCAGCTGCTCTTGCTGCTCATGGCTCCCAACAGCCCCAGATGTGACTAAGACTTGGACCAATTAAGGTTTCTGGGGTGGTTTTCTCTGTAAGCCTACTGTTTACCCCTTTACTCTATCTCGTAGCTAGCTGCCTCCTGGGAAAGGTGCTATCCTTGTGCTTAAATGAATGAGAGATGAAGAAGGTGAAGACATCCAAGTGCAAAGGAGGATGAAGGCTGATTCTTTTATTAATAAACAGGTCACTCAGGGATGGAGAAGTGTATCTGGAGAGCAGGAGGGACAGAAGACAGCTTGCATGGCATGTTGGAGAATGTATATTGCTTGTCTTCTGTACTCTGCAGGAGCTTTGAAGCTTTCTTTTTGTCTTGTGGTTTTTAGATAATACATGACACACGAGGAGAGCCCTGGCCTCCTTGTACGGCTGGGTCATGCAGTAGCCGAGCTGTGCCCTCACGCTTCCCTTCGCAGTAGCTCTGCATTGCTCTGCACCATCACAAATCGGTGCAATAGCTGGAGAGAAGCCACAGGCAAGTTTATAAAATGCCGTCCTGGGTTGTGCTGCTACAGGTGGGATCATATCCCTCCCCTCAGAGATACATGCAGTGCATCATGACTGTGCTTTGCAGAGATCCAGCAGGAGTGGCAATTTCATTTGACAAGCACCAATTTCCTGGGCACCATCTATTTTTCACAGAGCGAGACCATCCTTTAAAGCCTCTAGATAGTTAGATAGCATAGTCCTATGCACCTGTGTTCCAGACCAGTTTCTTCTTAGTAACTTCTCCCTAGGGTGAAACCAAATCTGAAAAGCTATCAATTCATGCCTTCCCAGACTACTTAGTTTTCTTTTCACAGGCGTAAGTAACTTTCCAAGTAACTTCGAGTTGAATCAATGCTTGGATGGCCTGAATTGCAATGTTAGGGAAAATCCTCAGCTGGCAGAAGGGCTAGTTATAGGTAGATAGTATGGGCGATGTTGCTGTGGGTCATGTGCCAAAAGTTCACCTTCTTCTATCTCTAAAAGAGTAAAGCCTGACAGGACTGCGTCCTTTTCTCATTCTGTGCAGTTTTTTCTAAGAGGCCCTGCAGTTTGGGGCTGGAATGGAAAAGGGATTTCTGTGTGCAAAACCAGCTCTGAGCACTTTAGAGCCCCAAAAAGCATCAGCAGAGATAAAGATACTAAACAAGACTGGCCCCAAAACTGAGCCCTAGGGAACACCGCTCGTGACCGGCCGCCAGCTGGACTTAACTCCATTCACCACAACTCTCTAGGCTTGTCCACACAGACAGTTTTTTACCTAGCGAAAAGTACGCCCATCCAAGCCATGAGCTGCCAGCTTC